GGTGCAGGCTGAGTGGAGTTTAAATTTTTTGTTGTCCTTTGTCCCATCAGGCTTATGCACGACGAATGCAGCTCCCACCATATTTTCATTCTTACTGCCATCTATAAATATCTTGTGTTCATTGCCAGTTATTTCATGAGTATAATCATCGTTGTTGTGTAATTCTTTGTAGGTTATTTTTGGACGTAAGGATGGATGCAACAATGTGGATGGATGTGCTGGTATGTCTAGTTTGATTTCTTGCGGTAACTGTTCTGATGTACCCTTTATGCGCGTCACTTCATTATTCGCCAGCTCTAATAGTTTAACATTTATGGGTATTAAGCAAGCAAGGGATATTGCAGTTTCAGTGTGGAGCGTGCGAAATCCTCTTATTATATTTATTGCAAATCCACGCTGTAGAGAAAGTAATTTGCGAGTAACATGTTTATAATTGAGAGCCTTAATCGTTACACTGGATGCGTATGCTATGATAGGTACAATAACTTGCAGATAAATTTCCTTGACATTTTCTGGGTGTACCCCCAGGTTGGCTTTATGTATCGCTGTAGCATTTGATATACATTACGTGCTTTCTGGATTACATTGTCCAGATGCTTGACAAATCTGAGTTGATTATCAATAGTGATTCCAAGAAGTTTCATATGTTTGCTGAAATTGATTTTGACGCTATTAATATATATTTGAGCTGAGGCAGTCTTCGGTCGGAAGAACGCCACCATCTGCGTTTTATGTGGGGCGAATGTCAATTTGACATCCGAACCCCATGCACTAATTTGTTTTAGTGCAAGATTCGCCGACGCCTCTAAACAATCCATGCTCTTACTGTGCACTACGAGCAGGATGTCATCGGCGAACGCTTGCATATGACATTCATCTGGTAGCGCAATATCAAGAAGTTCATCTATAATGAGGTTCCACAGCGTAGGCCCACAGACTGATCCTTGAACGCATCCCCTATTGAGGGTTTTATATAAAGTTTCATCAAGATAATTTAATTTTGCTGTTCTATCCGAGAGATAACTTTTAATCACAGAAAATATGTTTATGGGACACTGCGTTATAATTAATCTTTTTAATATGGCTGGCCACCATGCATGGTCAAATGCCCCTTGTATATCTAACGAGATAGCAATGACATGTTCCTTGTTGTTCCTTGAAGATTGAATTATGTTAATTGCATGATGAAGTGCGTGTGTCGTTGAGAGACCTGTTTTGAAACCAAATTGTCTTTTGTTATTTTGTTGTGTAATATATAAATGATGATTGAGACGTTGCATAATTAATTTTTCCAGTATTTTTCCGAAATTATTGATTAATCCAATGGGTCTGTGCGATTTAATATCTGTGTAATCTGTTTTACCAGGTTTGGGAAGGATTTTAATTATAGCAGTTTTCCAATTTTTGGAAAATATCCGAGTGACAAGCAGCGATTCATTATGCCTAGAACAAATCGGGGAAAGCATGCGATAAACATTTGACATATGTCTGCCGTTAAGTGATCTTCACCAGGTGCTTTCCTAGGATCCATCTCATTAACTGCGGTTATGAGTTCCGTTTCCGTAAATAGTACATCAGGTACTGTGTTTGGTTTTAGGTTAGCTATTGTGCGTGTTTTGATATGGCTGTTTTTACTATCTGCGGTATCGTCAGGGAAAAATTTTTCCATTATTGCTAATGCCGTTTCTTTGGAGTTTTGTGTGTAAGTGTTTTGTTTAGTTTTCATAGTAGCTGGTGTTGTGTTATGCGGTCTGACTTTAATTATACGGTTAGTGACTTCCCAGACGTCTTCCTTCTTTTGTCTCTGGCAGAATTCCCTGAAATTCCTAGTGGAAGCTTCCTTGATTGCTGCCGAATATTCTTCTTTTATTTTCTTCTTTTCTTCTATTACTTCTGCTAACGGTTTGTTCTGTTTCTTTAACTTTCTTAGTTTATGGTGATTTTTAATTACTTCTTTTTTAAGCTCTTCAAGCTGGTCGTTCCACCAAGGAGCGACCATTCTTTTATTTTTTGATTTAGGTATTAATTTATCACATGCCTTCTGTATTGTTAAAGTCATATTATAGATTAACTGTTCGAGTTCTTCGATGTCTAATGAATTAATGTTTATATCCATATTTAGTTGTTTAGTGACTTCTGCGATGAATTTATCTTTGTTGTTATCAAAATCAAAGTTTTTGGTTTCGTATTTATATGTTGTATTTTTTATTTTATTTATTGTTTTATTTTTTCTAGTTATAATTTTATACTCGATCGCATTGTGATCGGATGATGGGCATACTCCTTCATTTACCTTCCAATCTTTTAGACAGTCCAGATCCGTGGCAGTGACAAGGGTTAAATCAATAATAGATTCAATCATCTTACCGTGTGTTATCGTCTTAAATGTGGGTGTATTGCCAGTGTTACAGATATGAATGTTGTTGGCAGTAATAAAATTAGCGATTTGGTTGCCCCTTCTGTTGTTTATGACTGATCCCCAATCCCTGTGCCATGCGTTAAAATCGCCTGCGATAATGTGAATAGCCTTGTGATGTTTTTTGATAAATAATTCTAACGGGTTGAGAATTTTATTTAAAATATGGTCGTTAGGGTCACCATTTTTATTCCGGGGTTCTATGTAAACTGATGAGATGAAAATATTCCTATTGTTGCATTTGATTTGGATTATTGCTGTATTATTATCTGAATATTCCGACATACCGAGGATTGAGAATCTATTTCTTTGAGCTATAATACAAGATTTGACGGGCGTGTCACTTTTTGGGAACTGGTAAGTTTCAAATCCGAATATGTTGTTAAAAGTTTGTCTACTACCGGTGTAGGGTTCACTAATTATTCCCAAGTCTATGTTATTTTTGTGCATGTATATTAGAAATTCCTGTTGGGCGTCATATCCCCTTCCTAAATTACATTGTACTATGGTGATTGGTTTGTAACTATTATTAGATGTAATATTGAATTCTTTTGACAATGGTTTCTTTCATTGCCTGGAATACGGGGCAACGTACTGAGGTTGCGCTATGGTTGGTGTCTGTATTATGGTTATATTTGTTGTTGGGTTTGGAGCAATTATAACATTTAACATTTTGGGCATTATTTTTGTCTGGGCAATTTTTAAACTCATGCTCATTAGAGGAGCAATGAGAGCATATCGCTTTGTTTACGTTGCAATTTTTCCTGAGGTGACCGTATTGAAGGCAATTATAACATTGCTTTATCGGTATAAACTCTTCTACATAAATCTTTTGGTGCTCTATATTGATTCTAGTCATTTTCTTAACTACTTGCCAAATATTTGGAGATATTCTAAGAACCGCGTTGTATAATTTGTTGTTTTTATTTTTCCTGTTGAAGCTGAATGTTATATCTTCTTTATCTTTCATTTGATTTCTGATGTTCTCATTCTGATTAACAATGATCTGCACTAATTCTTCTGGTTTGGTATCTTTATAGATGCCTTTGAGCGTTATCATAGGAAGAAGGCTTTTAGCCACTTCCGCGTTAAGGTTGGTGTTATGTGTTAGGATCTTTATTGTCTCATCCCTCTGTTTTGTGTCATCAAACTCGACGCGAATTCGGTTGTTAGATATGGTTTTTACACTAGCCGGTGCAAAGTTAACGTTTCTGAAAGACACCTTTTGTCTAAATACATCTGCTGTCTTCTCCGTGCTATCGGGTTTGATTTGCGATATTATTATCGCTGGCTTAAAACATTTATCTTTGTTCTTCTGTGTAACAGGCTTGCTCGCCGCGCAGCGTAGCTCTGTACGAATGTGTCTATGTGTGAATTACTTTTGGCTTTGATAGTCATGTCTGCTATAGCTTTCTGCATTTCCACTCTTATTGTTTCTTGTATAGTAACTATTGTACTTTCTTTATTCTGGGATAAATCACGTATCATTTCCGCAGTCTGTGCTTCCTTATTCGTGTTTTTGGCTATCATGATAATTTCTTGCGATCTTTCTAGTATAACAGCTTTGTCTTCCTTCTTTACACTTTTATTCTTTTTGAGTGCATTTTGGATGTCGATAGCACAAGCCAGTATACGATCAAATGTAGATGCAGGTGGAGTCGGGGCAGTATTTGTAGTACCAACGCCCTCAGACAGATTTTCTTTGGATCCACCAATATATATGCTTTCCTCGTTACTATGGAGGCTATGGATGGAGTCACCAGAGTAGTGTAGAACTCCAGATGTCGATGCCTGACTGAGGATCTCAGTGCAGTCTGGCACTTTCCCGAAGGTGGGCATGATGTTATGGGTCTTTGCAGGATTGCTACTACCGGCAACGATGGGTCTGTAAGAGGGGCTATACTCCTCCGGTTTGCTCCTACTTGGAGGTGGCACAGGCAGTGGGGACGAGACCTCAGGCCTCGGGGCTTCTACCGCCTCAGGGGGTAAGTTGAAAGGTCGCCGAACAGGCGACCTCGCCAAAGGCATTTCCCAAAAATTAACTGAAAATGTCTAGGATATCAGATAGACAAGAGATACGAGGGGTACCAATGGTACGCTTAAGATATACGCTGGTTAGGTTAGGTTAGGTTAGGTTAGGTTAGGTTAGGTTGGGGCGGGGCGTGAGTCGGGCAACCTCCAAGTATGGGCCTGCCATTGGGAGGCTTCCCCATCCTCGTGGATACGTCCGCGGGGAACGGTGGCCGAGCAATGGTTTGGTTCTGGTACGCCCTGGGCGGGATAGTAGACGTTCCTTCGGGATACTGCTACTATGTCGGCCGATAGTCCGGCGAGTAGGTAGGAGTGTATATAGTGTATATAGTTAGGTTAAGTTATTTATTTGTAAATAGTTAGGTTTAGGTTGTAAATATGTCTTCTAGTTTTGTCTTCTTTGGTTTTTCTTCGTTTTATATTTTGTTCTTTTTGTGTTATTTATCTGTCCTTTCCTGTTCTTTTGTCTTTCTGTCGTTTTGTTTGTTGCTTCGTTTTCCTTTTCTGTTTTGTATGCGGGACCAAACCCGGGTAAAAAAGGAACAAAATGAGAATGGCCACCAGGAAAAACATATTACTCCAGGGAGGTACCACCCGGAAATCGGGTGGAGAATCCTCCACCGTCGCACCGGGCAAGCCGGGGGCGGTCAGCCCCATGTATCTGGAGGGGGCAACTGAGGCCAGAGTAGGGGGTGATGCTCGAAGTGGAAGAGAGGCAATGGTGGTTTTACTGAGGGACGTTGAGCTGGATAGGAGGACTAGAAGTGAGTGTGACGAGGCGGAGTACTACATGGAGCGCTCCGACTCGTCGCTCTCACTGTATTCTGAGGATGGCGCTGCAGGAGGAAGCGAGCCCAGCACATCTAGGGCTTCGCTGCGCAAAAGAAGATTAGTAGAAGTGCAAGACCCGGACTTGATATTCGATGAGGAGGTGGAGGTCGTGGAAGTGGTCGCGACCCCAAAGCCAAGGCCTAAACAAAGGCCACCACCGAAAGACCTGGATTTGGAACAGGCGAAGGCCGAATTGGCCGCCGCCACTAAAGAGACTATGAAATGGAGGCAGCAGCCCCAACTAAGAAGGCGAGTGCTCCGAAACCGCCGGCGCGCCCTACCACCCGCAGACCCTCAGCTGAGGATGCGCAGCGCGCCGACGTGTTGGTATCGGATATACAGGAGAGTGCCCTCAAGGTATTAGATGCCGTGAGGAAGTCCGGCCACTTGAAGGGCACTGTCGTAAAGGAGATTAAGGACGCCATCGCTACCATCCGCGCGGCGTCCGAATCACTGGAGGGTCGGACCTCGACAACCGAGTGCGCAGCTTTGCGCCGGGAGAATTCTCGGTTGTCGCGTGACTTGGCGGACATGCGGGAGATGATGACCGCAATGAGGGAAGAGTCCGCCAAGTATTACGTGGAACTGAGGGACCTGAAAAGGAAGACCATGGGGTCTGCCGCCCAGAGCTCAGACGAACTGGCGATGCTCAAGGCGGAGAGGGCGGAGTGGGAGCGCGAGATTGCCGCAACCCGCAACTCCTTCCAGGAGTTACTGAAAAAGAGTTCGGAGGACCGCTTGGCGTTGTCCAAGGCGCAAAGCGAATTGGCGGCAGCCAAAGCCGCGCTGGCGAACCAGTCACAAAGTGCGGCCATGGACGTGACATCCGGCGCTCAAAGTGTTGGGTCGAGCGAAACGCCACCCATCACCGAGAGCGCCGAGGCAAGAATAGTCCGTCAAATCGGGGACATTTTTAATGCCCGGTTTGAGAGGATAGAGGAGCTCGTGGGCAGGCCACATCAACCGCCGCCTAGAAAGACAACGGCTGCACCCCGAACACCTGGGGCAGCCAAGAAAGGAGGAGCAAGTACGGCCCCTGTAGCCAGTACTAGCAGAGCAGGGGTGAGCGCCTCTCAGCCGCCGCCCTCGACACAGGAGCAGTGGACGACGGTCGTCCGTCGTGGGAATCGCGCCAGGGGGGCGAAGGGCAAGGAGTCGGCCCCAGCCACCCAGATGCCCACTGGAGGGACGGGACCATCCCAGAAGGAGGCCCAAAGTGAGGACGCCCGGAAGAAGGCACGCAGGAGGCAGTTCCGCCCACCGCGCTCCTCGGCGATAGTGTTAACACTAAAGCCGGGAGCTGCGGAGGCGGGAACTAGCTACAGCTCGGTGCTTCGAGAGGCCCAACAGAAGATCCAGTTGGGGGCCCTCGGAATCACCGAGCTGGGCTTCAGGCTGGGAGTAACGGGGTCCCGTATCCTCGAGGTGCCGGGCCCAGTGGAGGAGAGTGGCGGAAAGGCAGATGCCCTCGCCGCGAAACTTGCCGAGGTCCTACCGGCAGGAGTAGTTGGCGTAACCAGGCCAGTAAAATGTGCAGAAATCCGCATACTGGACCTGGACGACGCTACAACCGTAGCTGACGTGGTGGCAGCCATAACGCGAGAGGGAGACTGCGCCGAGGCCTCCGTGAAAACGGGGGAGATCCGGCGCTCTCCCTCAGGGAGCGGTTCTGTTTGGGCCCGATGCCCGGTCGGGACTGTGAAGCGGCTGGTCGACGCCGGCCGTCTCAAAGTGGGGTGGACGATGGCGCGGGTGCGGTCCTTAGACCCCCGGCCGATGCGGTGCTACCGCTGCCTGCTCACGGGTCACGTGGGCCAGCGGTGCACCGCCAAGGAGGACCGCGGCGGAGTCTGTTTCCGCTGCGGTCAAGACGGCCATAAGGCCGCATCGTGCACCGCCCCTTCGCCGCACTGCCCATACTGTGCAGCGGCCAAGAAGAAGGCGGACCACAGGATGGGCAGCACCAAGGGGTGCCGTCCGCCCAAACAGGCGGCGAGAGTGGAGGAGATGGAGGCCGAGTCCGGCCCGTCACCTCCCACCATGGGCCTCGCGGCAGCCGATGCGGGGGCGTCGGCTGTCACCTAAGGCGGAATGAGGCCTGGAGTTGGCGCGCGGGGTGTCCGCGCGCGCCACTCAGGAGTGGGGCTGAAGAGCCCGCGCTGCCGGGGTTCACGGTTGAAGATCATCATGATCCCGTAACCCCGGCACCAAAGCGCTCGGAGGACACCAAGGGGTTTTAGCCGGTAGGAGTCCGGCAGTACCCCCACGCTTCCCCCGGGGCGTGCGGGTCTCCATGATGGTAAAAAAAAAAAAAAAAATTTCCCCTTGTAGGCCCGCGCTGCCGGGGTTTACGGTTGAATAAAAAAAAAAAAAAAAAAAAAAAAAAAAAAAAAAAAAAAAAAAAAAAAAAAAAAGGTTAGGTTGGGGCGTCTCCCCATCAAGCGCGAACCAACCTGCGCAGGAGGAGCAAGGAGCGGCGGTGTCACAACCTGTCGCTCCAAGCGAAGGAGAACGGGGTCCTGCTCCCCAAAGCCAAAAGGCCACAAAGGGGAAAAAGGCGCGAAAATCTGCGCCGCAGGGGCAACCCCCCGCGGTGGAGCCCCCGACTATCCCAGCGACACAGCTAGCTGCCGGAAGCTCCTCGTGGGCAACGGTAGTGAGGGGTAACCGGGGAAAGATGACCACATTATCTGGTCAAGAGGTGGTCGCTGAATCCCAACCGGCGAAGAAGAAGGCGAACTCGACGCCCACAAAGAAGACTGGCCCACCGCTTCCTTCGAGGCTAAAGCCACCCCGCTCTGCGGCGGTGGTAATTACCATCGGAGAGGCGGCGGAAAAGGAGGGCGTCAGTTACGCCAATATCCTCCGCGAAGCAAAAGGGAAAATAGACCTCCGCCCCCTCGGAATAGAGGACATGCGGCTTAGGCCCGCAATTACCGGGGGGCGGATCCTCGAAATCTCCGGCGCCGCTAGCGCAGAGAAGGCTGACGCTCTGGCGTCTAAACTCCGGGCACTTATCCCGGAGGACGTGGCCAAAGTCTCCAGACCCTCTAAAACTGCAGAGATGCGGATAATGGGTCTGGATGACTCTGTGACGCCGGAGGAAGTCGCCACTGCCATAGCGCGCGACGGGGATTGCAGCGCGGAGGATATTAGAGCAGGGGAAATCCGCCGAAGCAGTCCCTCAAGCTTGGGGTCTTGTTGGGTCCGCGGCCCAATCATGGCGGTCAAAAAAGTCACCACCAAGGGCCATATTTGCCTAGGATGGGTGACAGCGAAGGCGGAGCTACTGCGGCAAAGGCCGCTGCGGTGCTTCCGGTGCCTGCAGAGCGGGCATGTGAGAGGGCAGTGCACCCAAAAGGAGGACCGCAGCGGTCTTTGTTACCGATGCGGTGAAAATGGGCACAAAGCCGCAGTGTGCACCGCCGCCCCTAGATGTGCTGTCTGCGCATCACAGGGCCGGCCGGCAGACCACTGGGTGGGGGCTAAAAGTTGCACCCCGCCCAAAAGGAAGGGATGGAGGCGGCCAGCCACTCAGGCATCAGGCCGTAGTAGCGGACCACAGGAGGGGATGGACACCAGCTCCCCTCCTAGCGATCAAGGAGGCAGGGGTGGCCCAAGTCGCCCCTAGATCGCTACCGGGCCGGGGTGACGACCGCGGGGGCGGTCCCACCCCTCTGCACAGGCCCGAAGAAGTCGCGCGCATGTCCCCGCGCGCCTTCCCCAGGGAAGAGGGGGGAAGTGGTGGGTTCCATTAAGGGAACCCGCAGAGATGGGGCCCGCTGTAGAGTGGGCCACCGCCGTCGGAGTCGCGGTGGACTGAATATCGATCCCGCGACTCCGGCATATGGCGCTGGATGAGGGACATCTTGGAGTTTTTAGTGAGTAGGAGTCTCACAGTACCCGCGGGCCTCCCCCGGGGCCGGCGGGTCTCCATGAGGGATTTTCTCCAAGTTAAAAAAAAAAAAAAAAAAAAGGTTAGGTTGGGGCGTGTGTCGGGCAACCTCCAAGTATGGGCCATCCATTGGGAGGCTTCCCCATCCTCGTGGATACGTCCGCGGGGAACGGTGGCCGAGCAATGGTTTGGTTCTGGTACGCCCTGGGCGGGATAGTAGACGTTCCTTCGGGATACTGCTACTATGTCGGCCGATAGTCCGGCGAGTAGGAGTAGGCTAATCTTTTCTCTTTTCTGTTTTCGTCTTTCTCTTTCTTTCTCTTTTAATCTTTTCTGTCATTCTGTTTTCGTTTCTTCTTTTTCTTCTTTGCCTACTGGCAAGTCAGGTCCGGTGGGTGCTTAACTGCGCAGCCGGACAGCACTTCGGTGCAACTGACTTCAAACCGTAAACTTGCACTGGGTGTCGGTGATCACGTCTATCGGCCCAGTGTAGGAGCGGGGGCTCTTGGCTTAATTGCCCGGGGCCGCGAGGAGTCAACCTCTATAAAAAACCTCTTGTCTAAGCTCGGTGCCTGGCGAGGGACAGGTCGTCACGCGGAGCACGCTGCTGGAATTCGTTTCAGTTAGCGTGTTCTCCGGGGCGGCCGGGTCGGAGGAGTAACTCCGGCCGCAAGGGCACCAACCTTTGGGCACCAGCCGCACCCAAAGTGTATTAGGCCGCAGTCGGTAGCAGGGGGCAACGCCGGCTGTGCAACCTTTCCCCCACACTCGTGGGAACAAAATATGGATGCAAACAAAAACCAATCCGACGTTGGGTCCGTGAAGGACGGTGTACGAAGAGTGTCCGAGAAGGACGGTGAACGAAGAGTGTCCGTGAAGGACGGAGAACCGAGTGGGTCCGCGAAGGACGTAGTACTAAAAGAGTGCGCGGTCAGATTGACTCGCAGCAGGAGTACGTCGGTAAGCGGCGTCACAGGGACAGGACAAAGCGCTCCGGGGCCGGGACCTAGTGTCTCACAGTCCTTAAGCGCACACCCGGATACGGATTTCGACTCCGAGCTTACAGCTTCATCTTTGTCGCTGTACTCGGAGCTCGAAGCGGCACTGAGCAGAGACGTGCCAAAACCTGGCCAGAGGAAGCGTAGGCGGGCAACGCCCGTAAACGCAAAGACGGACTCGGATGACGGGTCAGATGCGTCGTCGAAGAAACCGGCGGCGCGTCCGGCGTTCCGTCGTCCATCACAGGAGGAGGAGTTGCGCCACGCAGAGGACTTGGGGAAGCAGGTCGATGCTGAAGCGCACCAAATTCTAGAGGCCATACGCCGATCAGGCAACCTTAAGGGGAGCGTGATTAAAGAAATAAAGGACGCCGTTGCCTCGATTCGTCGGGCCTCGGACGTCCTAGTGAGCAGGTCTGCGACGGCGGAGTGTGCGCGCCTTAGGGCCGCCAACTCCCGCCTAGAGAAGGAGGTCTTTGACCTAAAAGAAATGATGGCGGGATTCCGCGTTGAGTTCGCGCAGATGGACAAGGAGATTGCGGAACTCCGCGGACTTAAAAAGCGAGGGGTGACACCTGGGCCGGACCCGACGGAAGTTGGCCGGCTCAAGCAGGAGAACGCAGAATTGGAGGCACAATTGGACCGCTACGTCAAGGACAATGTGGAGCTCAGGCAGAAGGTCTTGGCGGGTAACGTGGCGCTGAGGAAGGCACAGCGGAGTGCTTCCCAAAACTCAGCAGAGCCGACTCCGGCAGCCGCACCGCCAGCCCCGGAGAAGATGGAGGTGACGTCATGCGACCCACCGGTGCTCCCGACACCGAGTGACGACATGGAGGGTCGCATAGTGAGGCAAATCGGGGAGATGTTCAACGCCCGATTTGCCAAACTAGAGGAGGCACTTCCCCAAAAAGGGAATAAAAAGGATAAAAAGAAGACGCCTCCCAAGCAGGACGTCCCAAGGACAGTGCAGCCGCCGCCCAAAACTCCAGCAGCTAGGGCCGCGGCAAACAAGAAAAAGGAGGCCACGGATCAACCAGCTCCGGTCGCCAGCACGAGCGCTGGCCTCTCCCAGCAACCGTCGACAAGTACAGCAGAGGAGGGGTGGTCGACGGTCGTACGGCGGGGCAAGAAGGGCTCTGCGGCGACAAAAAGTCAGAAGGCGCCGGCCGCTCAGGCGGCCCCCATACAGGCAACAAAGGAATCGGCTAAGCCGAAAAAGAGAAGGCTACGTCCCCCCCGCTCCTCGGCGATTGTACTAACAATTCAGCCGGAAGCCGAAAAGGGGGGGCTGACATACAGCTCGGTGCTCCGCGAGGCGAAAGATAAGATTTCCCTCGCGGAACTCGGGATTACCGAGTTGAAATTCAAGCCGGCCATCACCGGAGCGCGCATCCTTGAGGTGCCAGGCGACTCCGGTGAGAAAGCAGACTTGCTGGCCGACAAGCTGGCCTCCGTCTTGCCAGAAGGGTCCGTCCGGGTCTCCAGGCCGACAAAATCGGCCGAATTACGAATCGGAGACCTGGACGACTCGGCCACAGTGGCTGAAGTTGTTGCCGCGGTCGCGCGGGAGGGGAAGTGCACGGTGGAAACCGTTAAGTCGGGGGAAATCCGTCGCACTTCCTCAGGTGTGGGCACCTTATGGGTGCGCTGCCCAGTGGCAGCTGCAAAGGCCCTCGTCGATGCCGGCAGGGTCAAAATTGGGTGGACGATGGCGCGGGTGTTTTCCTTAGACCCGAGGCCACTGCGGTGCTACCGCTGCCTTCTCACGGGGCATGTGGGACAGCGGTGCACTGCGAGAGAGGACTGCGGCGGCATGTGCTTCCGCTGCGGACAGGCCGGTCACAAGGCCGCGTCGTGCGTCGCGCCGAAGCCGCATTGTCGGTATTGCGCGGCGGCTGGTCGTGATGCCGACCACCGGATAGGCAGCGGAAAGCAATGCCGCGCTCCGAAGGCCCGTGCACCCGCGCCGGTCGGCGGAAGTGAAGGGGAGAGGATGGACACGTAGGGTCCATCTAATCCAACTTGGGTCACAGAGCGGCGGATGGGTAGGGCCATCCAAAGCTCCGAGAAGGTCAGTGGCCCGAGCGGAGACGCCCGGCGTATACCCCGCGGCGCCTTCCGGGAGTGTCCATCCGAGCCCAGGGCGGGGAAGCGGAAGAATGTCTCCTGCGACCTCGCCCGACACGCACGGGCTGAGAGGTATACCATCAGGTTTTTAGCCGGTAGGAGTCCGGCAGTACCCATTCGCTCCCTATGGCGAATGGGTCTCCATGACGGATTTTCCTGATGTAAAAAAAAAAAAAAAAAGGTTGAATAGGAGACGGGGCGTGTGGTCGGGCAACCTCCTAGTATGGGCCTGCCATTGGGAAGCTTCCCCATCCTCGTGGATACGTCCGCGGGGAACGGTGGCCGAGCAATGGTTTGGTTCTGGTACGCCCCGGGCGGGATAGTAGACGTTCCTTCGGGATACTGCTACTATGTCGGCCAGTAGCCCGGCGAGTAGGGGGTGGGCGCTGTTTAACGGCGCCCGTCCAATTATGGTGGCGTGCCACCTAGGCCGATTTCGGCGAGAGGGCGACGCGAGCGGCTAGGACAATGGGTCCTGACCCCAACCGGGACCCGTCCAGGCCGTGAGCGAAGCATTCGGGTCGGGTCCGGTGGTGCTTTGCGCATAGCCGGACTGACTCACACCGCAAACTTGCACTGGGTGTTGATGACAGGAGGTCGTCCACCTAGTGTGAGAGCGGGGGCCCTGGGTTCGCCCGGGGCTGCGAGGAGCCAACCTCTATAAAAAACCGCTCGCGGTCGGCGTCAGAGTTGATGAGGAGGACGGAGTTGCGGGCAGGAGTGCCCGTAGACGACGGAGTTATCTCTGGCCAAGACTGCGAGTGTACCTTCACACCGTAAACTTGCACTGGGTGTGATGACAGGAGGTCGTCCGCCCGGTGTGGGAGCGGGGGCCCTGGGTTCGCTCGGGGCTGCGAGGAGACAACCTCTATAAAAAACCTCTCGCGGTCGGAGTCAGAGTCATGAGGAGGACGGAGTTGCGGGCAGGAGTGCCCGTAGACGACGGAGTTGTCTCTGGCGAAGACTGCGAGTGTATCTTCATACCGTAAACTTGCACTGGGTGTGATGACAGTGGTCGTCCGCCCAGTGTGAGAACGGGGGCCCTGGGTTCGCCCGGGGCTGCGAGGAGACAACCTCTATAAAAAACCTCTGGCGGTCGGCGCGGCTGTCGACGAGGAGGACGTCGTCCGGGCGAGGAGCGCCCGCAGACGACGGAGTCGACGCGGCGTGAGAAGACAGCGGGAGGATCGTTGCTAGGCGTCTTCGGACGCTGGGCAACACTCGAGGAGGCAACGCTACCGGCGCCTACGGTTTAACCGTGTGGCGCGGTAGTGCTTACGGAGGATACGGTCCCGGAGGCGCATCGCGAATCTGGGTAAGTATTCACGAGTAGGCAGCTCCCGATTTTAACATGTTAAGATCGGGAGTCCTATCTGCGGAGGACATCCCCGGGCTGCGCCTTGGTGCGGCTTGGTGGGCAGACTGCTGACGGCGCAGGGAGTACGTCGCCGAAGGTAAGTATGCGTGTGTCGCCCCGACCCGTCGGGGCACCGGGCGGAGCGGTGCCTTCAGGACCGCTTCCGTCCGGCGGGAAGGCTATACGCGGTCGCGGCTGCGGTGCGCTTCTAGCGCAACGCAGCGGCGATCGCGGCCTTTGCGTGGGGGGCGGAAGGTGTATTTTCACCCGAAGCCCCAACTTGGACACTCGGAGCGGAGGATGTAGGGGCATCCGAAGTTCCCAGGAGGCGAGTGATCCGTGGAGTGTGGGCGTGGAGTGGTCCCCGCGCCCAACTTCGGCGGCTCCTTCACTGGAGACCCGCGGCCGGAGTGCGGTCGAATGCAAATGCGAACCCGCACGAAGGCGCCTTTCGTGGTTCATGGAGGAACACCGAGGGGTTTTGGTGGGTCGGATTCGTCCAGTCCCACAGTATTCGTCCGCTCCCCTTCATAAAGGCGGACGTTTCGGTATTGAAACCTTTCCCCTCGTTAAAAAAAAAAAAAAAAAAGGTTGGGGCGTGGGTCGGGCAACCTCCTAGTATGGGCCTGCCATTGGGAGGCTTCCCCATCCTCGTGGATACGTCCGCGGGGAACGGTGGCCGAGCAATGGTTTGGTTCTGGTACGCCCCGGGCGGGATAGTAGTCGTTCCTTCGGGATACGGCTACTATGTCGGCCAGTAGCCCGGCAGGTTGGGCGGGTTTAGGATTCCTATGCCTCGACAAAGTCGAGGATCCCGGAGTTAGGAACCCGCCCAACTTTTCTTTTAGTCTTCTTTTTGTTTGTTTCTCCTTCTTTTGTTTTGTTTGGTTTTTCTTCTTTTTGTTTGTGTTTTTATTTATTTGGTTTTAGTTTGTCTTAGGTTTTTATCTGTCTTTGTCTGTCTTTTGTCTTTTCTGTCCTTTTTGGTTTTCTTTCTTTTTCTGTTTCGCTGTAGGTAGGAGTCCGGGACCACACCCGTAAAAAGGAACAAAATGACGATGGCTGAACGAAATAAAAAAGTACCCCAGGGAGGTACCGGTCGCTCTGCGGCCGGAGAATCCTCCCCCACCGCACCGGATTTGCCGGGGGTGGGCTGTCCCGCGTCTTCTGGGGGGGACACGCTCAGTCGTAGGAGGGAGTGGGAGAAAGAGGTCATGAGGTGCGTCGAGGCCGTACAGGGGATTGAGGAGCTGGAAATCCACGTGGCCGGCATGGACTCCGAGTGTACGGAGTCCGGACTGTCGGTTGCGTCGGAGGACTGCCGCAACTCCCTGTCGGTAACGACGGAGGACTGCCTGAGGGTGAGCACGTCGCCCAAAAGGCTTAGGCGTAAGAGGCGTGTCGTCGAGAAGTCACAACACCTTGACTCCGACGACGACGTCGAAGTGGTGCAGGTGGAGCGGGCTGCGATCCCGAAGATAGGTGGGAAGGGGAAGCGCAGGCCAGCCTCCCGCATGGAGACAGAGGGTTCGGCCTCGGCCGGATCCTCCAGGTCCGTCTCCGCGTCGAGGACTGCCGTCCGCCGATCAACTGCGGACGAGTCGTTGCGCGCCGATGAGCTGGGCGCCAAAATAGAGGACAGTGCACTTCAGGTACTCGCCGCCATAAAGAAGTCCGGCAACCTGAAGGGCACCATTGTAAGGGACGTAAAGGACGCCGTCTCTGCCATCCGTTCGGCGTCCGATGTCCTCAAGAGCGGTCGACCAGCGCGGAGGTAATGGCCCTCACGAGGCAGGTCGCCATGCTGCGTGTTGAGCTGGACGAGGCCCAGCAGCTGTCAAATGCGGCGGTCCAGGAGGGCCTGAAGGAGAGGCGCACAGAGGGTGCGGAGCTGGCAGGTGTTGGATGAGGTGGAGACTCTATCCGATCATCGGTATATCCGGATAGATGTTCTCCCCTCACCCGTAGCTCCGCACCCCGGTCGCCAGGAGAGGAATGTCCCACAACTCCCCAGATAATGTTGAAACGTCTGAATAAAGACGTGCTGATGGAGGCTTCCATCGTCCAGGCCTGGGTTCCCATACCGGAGGGGCCTGTGGAGGTCGACGCAGAGGTGGGCTGGTTCGGCGAGGCTCTGTCGCACATCTGCGACGCGGCGATGCCCCGAGCCGGCCCTCGACCTCCTAGGCGTCAGGTGTACTGGTGGTCGGAGGAGATAGCGGCGTTGAGGGAGGAGTGCTCCGCCGCCCGCCGCCGGTACACCAGGCACCGCCGACTCAGGCGGGGCCGCGACGCCGACGAGGAAGCACAGCTGTACGAGCAGTACAAAGAGAGGAAGAAAGCTCTGCAGCTGTCCATCAGCAGGGCCAAGGAGACAGCCAGGGAAGAACTCCTGGAGACCCTGGACAGGGATCCATGGGGGCGTCCTTATAGGTTCGTCAGGGGCAAATTACGCCCCTGGGCGCCCCCCGTGGCAGAGGGTCTCCAGCCGCAGCAGTTGGGGAGGTGTTGGAGGAGCTGTTCCCGAGACAGCCTCCCTTCACACCTCCTCCGATGATGCCGCGTGGCAGTGATGGAGAGGCCAGCGGCGTCAGCGCTGCTGCGGTTCCTGCCATCACCGTGGAGGAGTTCGCCGCGGCCGTGGATAAACTCCGGGGCAAGAATGTCGCCCCGGGTCCGGATGGTATCCACGGCCGCGTCCTGGCCTTGGCCCTAAACACCCTAGGGGACCGACTCCGGCGCTTGTTCAATGCGTGTCTGGAGTCGGGACGGTTTCCCAATCAGTGGAAAGCGGGTAGAGTGGTCCTGCTCCGCAAAGCGGAGCACCCTGCAGGTTCGGTGGTTCCCTCGGCGTTCCGCCCCATAGTGCTGTTGGACGAGATCGGCAAGCTCTTCGAGAGAATCTTGGCGGGCCGACTCGTCCAACACCTGTCTCAGGTAGGTCCCGATCTCAGCCCGAAGCAGTTCGGGTTCCGAGAGGGGCGCTCGACGATAGACGCGATCTCGCGTGTGCGCTCCCTCTCGGAAGAGGCGACGTCCCAGGGTGGGGTGTTGTTGGCGGTCTCGTTGGACATAAAGAACGCCTTCAACACCCTGCCCTTTGCGACTATTAGGGAGGCGCTGCAGTACCATCGCGCGCCTCCCTACATTCGGGACGTGATCGGGGCCTATCTCGAAGACAGGTCTGTGCTCTGCACGGGGCGGAACGGCATTGTAGTGTCGAGGGAAATGCAACGCGGTGTTCCACAGGGATCGGTTCTGGGCCCGATCCTGTGGAACATCGGGTATGATTGGAACCTGCGGGGCGCCCTTTTAACGGGCACTGACCTCGTGTGTTACGCGGATGACACCTTGGTCACTGCCCGGGGGCGGGACCTACGGGAGGCTACCCGCTTTGCCACGGCAAGCGTGGCGCTGGTCGTCGGCCGAATAAGGAGGCTTGGGCTCCAGGTGGCGCTGGAGAAGACCGAGGTCCTATGTTTTCATGGGCCTCGGCGCGCGCCACCTCCGGATGCCCAGCT